GGCGGCCAGGGTGGGCGGGAGGAGTCTGTGCGGCTTTCCGCGGGGGGCTCCCGGGGCTGGCGCTGTGCCGCAGCGCCAAAGACTCGCAAAGCACAAAAAGCTCGGCCCCTCATCTGCAAAATGCTCCTTCCCTGCCACTTCCTGGAAAAGCCAGCGCTGTTGAAAAGTTGGGGAGTGCGGTGTGGCGGTGTGAGACTAACTGACACAACCAAAACGTTGATAAGAACAGGAAACGTTATCAAAGATTGTTTCAGGGCCAGAACTGTGGCTCGTGCAGCGCAGGTACCCAAGGGCATGACAAGCGATCCAGGTCTTTGAAGCCAGGAACTTTTTGGTCAATGTTTTAAATGTTATGTGAGGATGATCCAGTACTAAGAAATCCTCGCGATAACTTGCCAGCATTTCAGGACCCTTCAGTTACACCAAATGAACTGTTCTGCACGTACGAAATTTCCAGAGACTGTATCAAGGGTGACGTTCAAAGAGCAAACTTAAGTTTCGGTTCAAGCTGACAAAATGACTGCTATGTTTTGTAACTCATTGATAGTAACAATGTTGCACTGTCTGTTAGTGATGTTTCTGTTGACTACTTTGTGCAGTCTCAGTAGTGAAAGACCACCCGGATTTGCTGTTTGGCAACAGCAAATCGACTCTGTCCTTCAGGAACATGAAGCGCACAAACTTGCTGCTGGTAGGACAGTGCAGCAGCGATGGGCAGACTGAATGGAGTACAAGCCCTAATGGAAGATGAATTCCACAGGGTACATTTTGTGCATTGTTACAGTCACTAATTAAACCTTTTCACGCAGCAGCTATGCTCCAGGACACACAAAGAACAAAGTATTTTTGCACGTTTTTCTGCACCTTTTTTCCTGCTTCAGTAAAGCATGTGGCTGTCCAAGATGAAGAACTGAACAGGAGGATGCTGAGATCCAGTGCAACACAATGGAACTTCCAGGGAAGGACTGTAAGGACAGTTCATGAAAACTTAGAAGAGTTGAGAGTTGTGGAGAAGCTTCAGGAAGAATCAAGGTGGCACCCAAACATGAGTTATTTGGGCTATTGATTCTTTTGAATGGTGGGAAGTTTTGTTGTCTTTTTTCTTTCCATCTTTGGTCTCATTATGCCAGAAGTGAATATACTGTTCAAACTACTACGGAAGTGAAATACAACTGAGTGGTCTCTGCAATAGCAGCTTTCAAAAATGTGATTGTAACTATATGGGAGGAGGCCAAAGCTTTGGCAGCCCTTTAGAAAGATAAAAAGCTGACAACAAAAAGAAAAGTTACACAAACTGAGCTGAGTCAAGTTGTGAAGGAAGCTTTTGATCCAATAGCTGTCCATGCTGAAGACCGATCGATTTTTCAGAGGGTGATCCCTGGTTACTTCAGGCTGCCTGATGTGGAGTTCTTTAAAAAATATATATGTTATTTTCCTGAAGGGAGATAAGATCGACAGCAATCGACTGTTTTCTGTTTTCAGACCAAAAAAAAAAAAAAGAAAAATAAAAAAGACGCAGCTTGGTATTTTCTGCTGATGCATAGCAGTAAAAGTGGTGTAAAATTCACTACCTCACTGTTTTACAAAACAATATAGAAGAAATTTTCAGTTAAATGATGAACTCCTTTCAAATAGAATCATGAGACCTATCAGAACATCAGAACTGAAAAAAGATGTTCTTGACACTGAAATGTGTGCAAAACCTACCTGAGGAACATGAAAAGCAAGAATAATTGGATGCTTTAGCAGTGCTGTTGATAGAGAACAACCTAGTGAAGCCAAGGAGCATTTTGCAAGGCTGAAGAACAGACAGGCACAGTCTTTTTGCGTGATGCTGTGAGACACTGAAGAAAAACATACCTCTCTAAGAGGTAATTATTAAAACTAATTATGTATTTAAACATATGGCCTTTTTTTGTTAATATATAACAACAAAACATTCTCATCTTAGGATTAGCTTGATAAAGAATTACCAGCCTGGTTTAGTACCACATTGTTCTTTCAAGTCTTTGTTGCATACACACACACATGTCTATTAAGAGACTTCTATTGAGATCCCCACCAACTAATAAGTGTTAGAAGTACCACTGCCTTGGGAGCTGTTGTCCAACTTGTCAGTGCTTAGCCTGTGCCTCAGTCAGGGTGGCAGAAGCAGGTTCTGCCAGCTGCTGTGACCACCGTTCAGCAAAACAGGCAGAAGGGGAGGGCAAGAGGGGGGT